TTACTGTTTTAAAATGTATATAATAACCAGAAACAGAGTCAAGTGTCTTTTACAATGACTAAGAACAATTTGCAGTTTTAGTAGTTGCATGAAATTAAATATTTCTAGAGGACTTGAAAATAATTGTTTCATTATTCATTTGCTTATCAAGTTTCTTTTTTCAGTGACTCCACAGTGTTAAGCTTTATTCCAGAACCAGTCTAACATCACAAGTTAATAATTGGTGAAGTCTGAATTGAGGCTTTACTTTATGTGAAAGGAGAAATAAGATAGAGTCCCCTCTGGTTTATGGATTATCAGTGTGGGATTACAGACACCGCTTCACCCCACTCATTTATTCGTGACAAGGCGCCTCTCCCACGTGGGTTCACTTTCCTTCATTATTTATTTCAGTATCTTTCTACTACCTGATAAAAATCTCTTTTAGAATAATAGAATTTTATAGCTCAAAGGGATCTAGTCCAACTTCCTTTCTTTATAGATGGGGAAACTAAGACTCTGGTTAAGTGACTTTCCAGACGGACTCATTTCCTTTTTGATAGGATTGCATGATAGGGGGGTGCCATAATGACACATCTTGAGTTCAGGAAAGCACATTGTCAGAGTCTCTCGTATTCTTGTGGACAGCATGAGGAAATGTGATCCGGGAGATAGTACAGTCAGATGGATTTATAGCTGATTGAGTACTTCTGCCCAAAGAGTGCTTTGTTGTCAATCTGTGCCTGATTATTTGAACTAGTCAGTTGAAATATAATAGGAGCACATGTAAATTCTATACTTGAGTTTAATGAAATCAGCTGAATAGGTATAAGACTTAATAGCCTGTAAGCCCTGGTTGAATTATTAAGAGAGTAAGGTCTCTGGAATAAGGAATTTAACATTCTTTGCATTTTTGCTCACAGTTGCAGCATTTTGTTCAGTTCTGAACACATTTAAGAAGGATGTTGACAAACTAGCTGCATCCAGAGGCTAAGAGGGTCATGAGAAGGATGGGGATGATACCAGAAACCATCTCACATGGGGAATGCTTGAGGAACGCGATAGACTTTGGAGAAGTAAAAACTAAGTGAAAATGTAATCCTAGGCTTCACGTATTTGAAAGGTTTTTGTCTGGCAGATGCCTCCCTTCATATTGCTTTCTTAAATAATAGCTTTATTCAATTGTCTGTATTGGTTTAAAGTTTATTCCTGAATCTTTGTGTATAATTTAAATTCAAATGTCATAAAATATTTTCAAATGAAAGCTTATAATCAGACAAGTCATTTTTATGAGGCAAATTAAATAGTAGATTTCATTATAAAAGAATCTCAATAATTAGATTTTAAAATAGTGATTAAATTGTACCACATTTACAATAGTGATGCATATAATATTTCTTTTACTTCAAGATGTTCACATTTTTTACTCCAAATGCAGTTATAAAAAGGCTTTTTTTTCCTCACCCAGAAAAAGTTATATTGATAGAGAAATATCTTTCAGAAGGGAGGGGAGGAAATGAGGAGTAGGAATAGAGTACTGTAGCACAGTGCCTGGCACAAAGTATATATTTAATAGTAGGAGTAGTTGCTATTTTACAGTTCTATTTATATCTTCCTATGACTTGTTTCTCTACTAAAATATAAATTTATTGAGCACATGAACTTTGAAAGTAAAGCATTTATTAAGCATTTGGTCATTGATGAATGTTGTCATACTTGAGAGGCTCTTCCCTTTTGTGTTTTCTGCTTGTTGGATAGTATCTCATAGGTGCACTCATCTGGTTGCTTGGGCACATTTAAAAAGTGGTTCTGTGCAATGTAAAGAATATACTTGGAGGATAATAGTGTACATTTATTTCAAATTACTCATGATTTATCTTCTGCGTTTTAATATCTGGGTCAAATTAATTAGTTTAGCTGTATGTAAATCTTATGATGGTTCAGTGTTTGGAAATAGTAATCAATAAACTTATTTTCAAGGATATGTCACTTTTTGAAAGAAAAGATGTTTCTAAAATAATATTTTCAGCCAATTCAGTAAGGTTCTCATTTATAAAGCTTGAGTTTATACTGACATTTTCAGGAACACATTTCTTTTACTGACCACATTTATCGGTACTAAATTTTATGTAAATTTGTTCACTTGTCCTTTTGGAAGACTGTTTTCCCCCCACTCATGATTTTATCATGCATTCCTTTCTAGAGCATGAAGGGGAAAAGCAAAAGTAGTCACGACTTGCTTAAGGATGATCCACACCTCAGTTCTGTTCCAGTTGTTGAGAGGTTGGTATGGTACTAGTGTGATTCTAAGTTCTCATTTTCTGGCTTAGATAATTTATAACTTCCTTTGTGAGTAAGCAGTTGTTTCTCATATGTCAAATTTTTTTTCAACCCAGCCAAAAAGCTAAAGCATTTTGACAGTGGAGGTAGTAGAGCTTCTCGCATATGGAGAACAGCACTATAGTCACTTTCACTCCTCTTGCTATCTACTTCAGTTGAACTCATTAAATTTAAAATTGTTAAACTTTTAAATCTTGGAATAGTTTGAAGACTAGGGAAACTGTTTGCTTTAACACTTTTATGTTTAATTCAAAGTTGCTTTGCTAACTTTTTCCTTGGAGCATTTTTGTCTCAGTTGGTATGTTGGGTAAAAAAAATCAGAATTCAAGGGTTTTGTGAAAGTCACCACATTTGGGCCCAATCCATTGAGTATTATTTCTTATATATTAAAGGTGTTAACAGAAAATTATCTTACTATATTTGTTGCTTCTCTTTGAGAAGGGAAGATATCTTGCAGTTACATATAATTGCATGTGAAATATTGGGCCAGTGTCTTAAAGGGGGACTAAAATACTACTATACCAAGTTTAGCTCAGTTTCAAAAATTCTGTTTCAAAACAGTATTTTCTTAATATCATTGTATTTGAAGGATTTGATTTCATGAACCAGAATATGTCAAGCCAATGAGATAAATTGTTTTCTGCAGCCCTTTGTTCATAAAAATAGCATTGCTGATTTTTGTTTTGCAATTTTTCTTTTAATTCTATTGATTTTGTGTATGTGTTGATGGAGCATACCTCTTATTCTATTTATTAAAAAATGGCTCATTTTTAGTATGTTTCCAGTTACTCTAGAATGCCATTCTGAAATTTCTATATTGAAATAAGTTTTTGAAGTATTAGTCCAACAAAATATTCTAAATTTTTGGGTTATTGAATAATTTTATTACTTCCATTTTGAAGCTAAAATTTACTTGTTTTCCTTATTTTTTTTTGTAGTGAAAAGGGTGATGCAGCAGGAGATTTAGATGATGTAAGTATCTGTATATATAAAGAAGTAATATGCAGATTAGGTCTGTATGCTGTAAAGGTCACGACCAGCTCAGGAGGAGGGGCTGGGTGCGGCCCCGAGCCTGAGAGAACAACACACAGGCGCAGCCCGGAGCCTGAGAGAACAACACAGGAGCGCCGCTCCAAATCTCCGCAGTATGGCTGGGGGCAGGCCCCCAGCGGACACACACAGGGGTGCTTGCTCTGAGCTTCCACGGCGCGGCTGGGGGCAGGCCCCCCCCCGGACACACACAGGGGGGCGTGCTCCAAGCCACTGCGGCCAGACTGTGGCTTAGGCCCGCTCCCCACAGGGAGCGGACCTAAGCCATCAGTAGGACATCCCCTGAGGGCTCCCAGACTGTGAGAGGGGGCAGGCTGGGCTGAGGGGACCCCCTCCCCATCCAGTGCACGAATTTGGTGCACTGGGCCTCTAGTTTTATTATAAATATAGTTTGAACAATTTACAGAAAATTCAAAATTTTTATAAAAAATTAAATTGTTTTTCTTAAAAGGTTATATACAGGGTGTCCAAAACAAATGTATACACACTTTAACAACTGATAGCTCAATTGATGTTTCTTACTTTTCAGATTTAACCCATTAGAATTAATAATTATTCAAAATGTGTATATATTTTTGGGGACACTCTGTATATTACTTTTATAATTATGCATATCAAATTTTGAAAAAATATGAAAGATTTTAAAAATATATTTTTGCTATTATAATATTTTCTTTCAAGTGTATGTCTACATGTGTGTGGAATCTTATATATTAATTTCTAGACTGTTTTTTCTCCCTATGATATAACATTACTTGAATAATCAAAATTCAGATGTTATTTTATTTTATTATGTTAAAAGTTGAAATGTTGATGCATGGATATCCTATATGATGTATGGGAAATACTTGGATCAGTCATTTATAGCAGTATTCCTTCTTTATACACACATTTCAGAAGATTCTCTTTCATGACTGTAGTTATCTTTATAGTTATACTGGCTTAAAGCTGATAAAAGAGAAGGCAGTTTTCTTTATGTATAAGAGATCAAGTTTTTCAAGTCATCTATTTGTCACTTTATGTAAAACCCATTGATCTGTGCATCGTATAATTCAGTAGGAAGTACATAGCTTTCTATGCATGAATACTATTGCCACAGTCAAAAGAGAGGGTTCTTTCTGATTATGGAGGGTAGAGAAAGAATGAATATCTAACCTGTTCAAGAAAATCTTCCTGGAAGAGATGATTGTGTTGTGTCTTATAGAAGAATTAGGCGTTAACTAGATCAAAAAAGGTGGTGAAGGTTCCCCTAGCTCAGAGAATAGCATATGCTAAAGCACAGTGACAAAGAGAGATTATCCTATCTAACAAAGAGGGAATATGCTAATTGACCCTCACACCATCGCAAACCATGGCGGCACCCTCAGCCAATAAGGAGGGAATATGCTAATTGACTGTCCTGCCCTCAAATATGGCGGTGCCCACAGCCAATAAGGAGGAAATATGCTAATTGACTGCCGCGCCCTCAAAGATGGCAGTGCCCACAGCTACAAGATGGCGGTGCCCAGTCCCCTCAGCCCCCCAGCCGCCCAGGGCCGGCCTGAGGCACAGACAAGCCTTGGATGGCAGCTGCCCAGCCACTCAGGGCCATCCCAAGGCTCATGTAACCAAGGCCGGCCGAGGCTTGCGCTGTCGGCAATGGCAGCAGCAGAGGTGTGATGGGGCGTCGCCTTCCCCTGATCGCCGGGTTGCATCCTGCCCCTGAGGGCTCCCAGACTGTGAGAGGGGGCAGGCTGGGCTGAGGGACCCCCTGTTCCAGTGCATGAATTTTCATGCACCGGGCCTCTAGTATCTTATATAGGAAGCACAAGCTGAGGTTAAAGTTTGAGAAGGAACTGGCCTTATGTAAGGAGCAGTGAGGAAGAGTATTGAAGGTAGAAGAAACTACATATACAAAAGGCTCTGAAGCAGGAGAGAGTTTGGTATGGAAGACCTAGGTCAATGGTTATCAACTTCTAGGGCTAAAGAATGTCTTAAACATCTTACTGAAAACATTCACAATTTCTGTTTCTCAAGATTTGGTTTGGAAAGACTGGGATAAGGGCTAGGATTTTATATTTTTTAACAAACAATCCAGGTTATATAGTCTGAGGACCAGACTTTGAGGACCATTGCTCTAAGAGTCTACAACCTCAAGTTAAGAATCTTGCCTCACTGTGACTCAGCTGATCAAAAAAAACAATAGAAAAAGATCCCCTTGAAATAGCATCTTTCTTATCCTCCTTTCTTTCCTCCCTCCCTTCCTCCTTCTTTTTCTCTCCACTCCTCTCTCTGTTGATGCTGGGAACTATTCTGGAAGTTGAAGATATAGCAGTAGGCAAAATGGTCCAGAATATTAGCTCTCATAGAATGCTTCCTCTAATTATGGAAGCAAGACAATAAACACATAATTAAGTAAAATGTAGGTCAGATGGGTGATAAATTGCTTTGGGGGGAAAACAGGGAGGGAGAATAGAGTACTGGAGGTGGGTAGGTGGTTCTGCCATTTTAATAGGGTGATCAAAATAAGTGTCACTGAGAGGGTAACATAGCAGAGATCTGAGATGAAAGAGCAAGCAATGCAGATAAATGGAATAAGGATGTTTCAGGCTGGAGAGAAATAACAACTCCAAAATTGGCTAGTGTGGCTGAGATGGAGCTGTATGACATCATGTCAGGGAGGTACAGATTGAGTAGGGTCTTGAGTGAGTTGGAGATCCACTGAAGGGTTGTGAGAAGAGGAGTAATTGCTGTGACAGATTATAGGAAGAAATCTCAGCTGTCCCATCTCTACCTCTTCTACTTGATCCCTGGTTGAGGTCAGCATGCTGGTGATACAGAAGGAGCACAGTTTACTGCACAGAGGGGCTGGGTGTGAATTGAGCAAACAGCCCTGACTGGGTTATCTCACACTTACATAGTTCACCCTGAGCAGAACTCAGGGGTATTCTCACCTGTAGCAGATTCTTCATTCAGCCTTTGCTAATTCAAAACCCAACAAAAAGAAAAACAAACCTGGCTTAAGATGCAATGAAGAGTCCGGAAGTGAAAGGGGAGATGGAATGCCCAGCACATACTCCATTTCAATTTCTACAGGATGAAGAATTTGAGGGTGCAGAGAATGATGAAAACATTGATGGTGATGAGAAGAACCTGATGAGAGAAAGAATTGCAAAAAAGTTAAAAAAGGACCCAAGTGCAAGTGTTAAATCAGCTGGAGAGGGAGAAGGGGAGAAGAAATCAGTTAGCCGCAGGTAAGTTGCTTATTGTGCTTCTAGGTATCAGAGTATTTGTCTTTTTATACTTCATTTTAAATTAAGATTGAGTCCTCTGTTCAACTTACTGTTTAAAATACTATTTCATAATGCTTGATATATGTACTAGTTGTGCTAAATTAGCCCATTTGGAAACCTAAAAGAAAATAGGCCAGTTTTAAAGTAATTACAGCAATGAATCAAATTCCACTTAATTTTTCTCTGATCTCATCTTTAAAATCCTCTATATAATTTGTTATATATGAGCAAGCAATATTTTAGCTAGATAGGGAAGGTTGTGTTTGTTTAATATCAATGAGAGCAGCAGAATAATTGTGTAGAATGAAAAGAGATGTCTTCAGATTCAGGTGAGTAAAATTTGTCAAAACTGGTTAAGGAAAATGTGTGGGCATGAAAGCATTTTTAAGTACCTTTTCAAGTCTGATTTATACCATATACCCCTCCTAATCTCTATGGTATTATAAAAAAATTTTAGCAAATGCCTGATAAAGAGTTGTTGAACTTTGTGACATTTTATTCTCCTGAAATTCCACTTAATTGAAAAATTCTCCTTTGTGATTCTATTATTACAACTTTATGGTATATGTTTTAAATAATATTGCTTTAAAAAGTAATACTATTTGGTTTTTTTTTTTTTGGATGGCTTACATTTGGGGATAACATAGGTGTAACTACATATAAACAACATTTTTTGTGGTTGTTTCTCACCCTCTTATAAAAAAAACTTAAAAAGTATTCCCATGTTATCATTGCTTAGCTCCCTTAATTTTTTTCTTTATGTAACTAGAAAAGTAATTTTCAAAAATTTTCACTGATGTTACAACCTTTTGCATTCAAAAATGGTACTTAGCAGTTACTTTAAATATCTTTTTTTTTCCAGCAACATTCACCTGACAAGTAATCACTGTTGAGTAATTTAATATAGTAGATTAACTTTGGGCCAGTAATAACTGAAGATTTTGGTGATTATACTTATTCATAAATGGAGTTGATGAGTCTCTCATCACCTTTCTTTTAGTCAAATCATGAATATAGTGAAGAATCCTTTATTTCTCTCTCTCATTCAAAACAGATTTTCTGCTTTTTAAGAACTATGAGTTAGGTTTGTAATGTGACAAAAATATATTTTTAATTTTAATAAATAAAACATATTTGCTGTTTAAATGTTTCCTTAAGTTTTCAACTTTATCTTGTGGGCCTTAATACACTTTCAAATACTTATGTATCCTCTAATTAATAGAACTTATAATTTAGCCAAGTTGAAGTTTCTGTAAGAACTAAAGAAAGCTTATTTAGCAAAATTGGCCTTAATAAACACCAAACATCTATTTGTAAGGGTTCTCTTTCCCAAATTTTCAATATTCACATCTTCTTCTCTCACTCCTTTATCCTGTTTCTCTCCTAACTACAAAGGAAAATAAAAGAAAAATAAGATCAGGAGAAAGTACTAATTTCTTAGGGAAAACACAGTTTTTCACTCTTTTTTTTATACATTTCCATGAGTATTAATTGCCATTTATTTTAAGAACAAAAAATTTCCAAAATATTACTGCTTTTGGTCAGTTATACTAGCTTCACTATAGTTTAAGTCTCAAGTGAGTTTTATGTTAAAAAAACAGAAAACCTCTAAGAGTCTTAAAAAATTGTAAGGTGGTGAAAAGGATATTTATATTTAAAGGGAAATCACTGTTCAGTCTAAGTTGAATTATAATGGAAATAGCTGCCAGCCAGCTAGGACATTAGTGTAAAATTATTATCTACTAGAGGCCTGGTGCATGGATTTGTGCACTGGGGGGGTGCCGGGGTGTATGGCCTGCGGGAATCAGCCGCAGTGGGAGCGCTGCTCATCCTGGTCAGCCGAGTGGCACTCCCACTGTGGGAGCACACTGACCACCAGGGGGCAGCTTCTGTGTTGAGCGTCTGCCCCTGGTGGTCAGTGTGCATCATAGCAACTGGTTGACCAGTTGTTCTGGTTGTTCTGCTGTTTGGTTCCTGGGTTTTTATATATATAGTTAGATTTAAAACTCAGTGATTTTGCTCTATACAAACTTTTCATCTGGATGTGCCTGAAGTATTCTATTATCCTTTGGTCAGTTTCTTTTTCAAGCAGGAGGGATCAGTGACTAGACTAGTCTACCAGCCCTTTCAGCAAGGAGCCACTTGGTATTGCTTTTATTGGTAAAGAAACATCTGGAATCTGTTAAAGCTGCTTATCACTTTGTATATTAAACCTACAGCAGGTTTGCTGAGTACTTAATATTTAAGCTGGGGAATGGTACTTAGCAATATAATTTTCAACAAATTTATATAGAGTACAGTCTTTCCTTAATAATCTATTCTCAGCAATGTCTCCAGTTGTTCCATTGAAAAGTATTCAGGAGTTCGAGAGAAATAAGTCCAAAGTTCTTCCTACCTCCTCTCCGTTCTTTTTTCTCATTATATTTATTCTGACTTCTTTAGGATTTTGGTCCCTTGCCTCCTCCCTTTTCTAAACGCATCAGTCTCACTCTCTTTCTTATTCAGCCCACCTTCTCTAAGCCTATATCTTGAGTACTGGATGTTGATGAGCAAAAGGACACAGCCAAGTACAAGCCCAGCCTTAACTGTGCCTGCAATACCTCTTTATTCCCCACTTCCCATGGTGCTTACTTCAACCCCAGCCTCACTCTCATCAGGTCACCTGGCAGCCTGTTCTGTGAACTAGGAGTACCTTCTTCAACTCATTCTTTTCTCTTAAAACCCTTGTGCTTTTCAGACCTTACGGTTTAAAGGTAGAGGAATCCCTCTGTCCTTTCAAAATGATCCCATTCTCTTTCCTTTGGCTTCAGTTTTCTCTCTTTCCTGGTTCCTTTCCTTAGGCTTGTGATTAAGCATCTTCCAGCATTCAAGAGTAAAAAGAAAATCATTCCATTTTATGTCCTGTCTCCACCTTCTTACTTTGCACTTATTTCTAAATACATATCATCGAGCTTTCTCCTCATCACTCCACTAAAACTCCTCTCACTAAGGCCACCTAACTGACAAATGTAATGGCTGCTTTCCAGTTTTCGTTTTTCTTGGTGTTTGTGCTGTGGATTTGACATATTTTTTATCTGTCCTTTCAAAACCGATCTTCCTCAAGAACCGAATTCTTAAAATGTAATCTGTGGGCCAATAGTATTAATATCACTTGGGGAGTTTTTAGAAATGCTGAGTCACAGGCCCCAGCTCACACTTTCCAAATCAGAATTTGCATTTTAACAGGATCCCCAGGTGATTTGTGTGTCTATTCAAGTTTGAGAAGCACTCCTCTAACATACTGATTTTTATCCCTAATGCTACTAGACTACTAGACTGATTCAAGTTTATAAAATCTTGACTCCAAGATCAGCAACTTGTAGGCACATTCTCTGACTCTCAGGGCATCTCTATTGCACCTTTCTCCACTTCTGTGATAGTTAGTATGACATTAGGTTACACTTTTCCCCCTCTTCCTGTACTTGTATTGTAATTTTCTTAAAGGCAGAGCTTGTGTCCCTTTATGTTTTATCTCTGTGGTCAAACATCATCGGTACCTAAATATTTGTATGAATGAATGAACAAAAAATGAGTGAATCCTTTATTGATAAATCAGTTTCTCTTCCAGATCTTGTAAGTAACTTGCTTGTATATATCACATGGGATTTGTTGGTTTGCCTATCCCTTGGCTGAGACTGAGCTCCTTCAGAGACTCTTATTATCTTTACATCCTCTGAGTCATATGCATTTAGTAATTGGTCATTAAAGTGTGTGTACTGAGTGGGTGAGTAAATGAATGAATACAGTTGTGATTCATTAGAGGAATGGTTTTCACTGGGCACTGCACATTAGATTCACTAGATTTCACTCCTGACTGGACATTAGATTCTTATTAGGTTAACATTAGATGCCTGGGCCTCACTCCCACAGATTCTGTCATTTTATCTGCAGTGAAGCCTGGGCACATCTTTTTTTTTTTTTTAAACTTTTAATTGAAGTATCATATACATACGGAATATATTTGTATAAGTTATATTTCATAGTACATATATCATAAACTTATACGGCTTGCTGAATTTTTATAAGCCAAAAACACCCATATACCCACCAAATACACCCATATACCCACCCAGATCAAGAAGCAAAACTGCTATTACCTGGAAGTCTCCCTCTTGCCCTATTCTGGTTATTTCCTTCCTCATCTTCTAATAATAGTAAACATTTTTCTAACTTCTAAAAACATACGTTAATTTAGGACAATAATTCTTTGTACTAGTAAAAGCGCTCCAGATAGTCTACTGTGTACCCAGAGTTAGAATCCTATTCCCCACCAAACATACACTCCCTTGGTTATTTCTGAGGCATAGAATAACATAGAAGTAGATTTTAAAAATTCTAGTGTTACCTCAGATCTTTTTTGTAGTCTAACAGGGATAAGACATTTATATCAACTAAAGTGAATTTCGATCTTTGAAAAAGATAAGGGCCAATATAGGAAATCAAGTAACTTTAGAACCGTGGTCGGCAAACTGCGGCTCGCGAGCCACATGTGGTTCTTTGGCCCCTTGAGTGTGGCTCTTCCTAAGCCTTAGGAGTACCCTAATTAAGTTAATAACAATGTACCTACCTATATAGTTTAAGTTTAAAAAATTTGGCTCTCAAAAGAAATTTCAATCGTTGTACTGTTGATATTTGGCTTTGTGGACTAATGAGTTTGCTGACCACTGCTTTAGAAGAAGGAAAATATGATATTTGAGTATTCCTAGTGTTTTTAAAAGATCTGTACTGGTAAGTATTTAAATCAGTCTCCTTGAACCTTTTCTGTATAATTGGATTACTTGAGAACAGGTGATCAGAATTTTTGGTGTGGGATCATAGACATTTTAAAAAGAACCCAAGTTATTCTGATGTGTACTCAATGTTATTGAAAGTTGGGGGAAATTGGAGTTTGTATTTGGAAAGTTCTATTTTAAACTTAGTGT